GGAACCGGGCCTAAAGGGACCCAAACGGGGACAATTAAAAAGTATACATCCCAGGGAAATGTGACCCCAGAAAGGCCCCAGAGCAGAAACAATAGAGAATCTGATCTAAGTATGCAAAGCAGTCCTAAACAATCACTAGAATTGGACATCAGCAATCAACAAATATCAGAGATAGAAAAAGATCTACAAATTCCAAATAAAAAAGAGATGACAGAAATGTTTAAAGATATGGAGAGAACAATAAAGCAAGAAATGGTAAATATTCGGAATGACCTGGGGCAGTTGTTGTTAAGAGTGGAAGAAACGGAGCAGAAAGTTAAAAATCAGACCCAGATTATTTCCAAATTAGAGAAGAAGATAATTAACATGGAAAAAGTTCAGGAAAAATTGCAGTATAAGGCGGAAATTCAAGAGAATAGAGAAAGAAGGAGAAACATAAGGATAAGAGGGGTACCGGAAAGTTTAAAGGGAGAAATACTGGAAGAGATGGTCTGCAAAATACAGAACTATATAATGGAAAACTCTGAAATGGAAAGGACTAATATAGAAAGAATCTCTAGAAATGGGAAAACTCCAGGGAAATTATGAGAAGGACAGGCCAAGAGACATACTAAAAGCAAAGGGAAAGACTCTGGAGGAAAACTAAGGGAAAATCAGTTATAAAGTATGGAGAAATGGATATTCAAATATATGCGGACTTGTCACTAGAGACTCTCCAGAGGAGGAGAACTCTGAGGCCTTTGCTGGAGCAGATGAAAAAAACAGAAGGTGCAATATAGATGGGGAGTTCCGGAGACTTTAATAGGATGGAAAAATGGAATAACAGCCCATTTGAGGTTCCCAGAGGACTTGAGAATTTTTTGTGATAGACTTGAAATGCAGAAATTGAAATAAATGGATGGGAAGAAGAATCTGGGGGAAATAGAAAAGGAGAGGGGAGGGGTGGAGGAGGGTTGGGGAGGGGAGGAGGGTGGGGGAGGGGAGGAGGGGGGAGAGGTGAGGGAGGGTGAGTGAAGAGGAGAGAATTGTTTTTTTTTTTTTTTTTCTTTCTCTCTTTCCTTGCTCCCATTCCATCGCTTCCTTTTCTCCCTAGTTCCTCCAGCCTGACCCCTTTTTTTTTTGTTTTGTTTTCTTTAGAACATACAGGTAGAGAGGAGTTCAAGGGGGGGATCCGGAAGGAGGGGAGGCTGTCCATGGGAGGAGTGAAGCCCTAAGGATTAAGTCAAAGGTGGATGCTATCTTCACAAATGACGGTTAGGCAAAGTGAAGGCCTAAAAAGAGGGGGGGAGGGAGGAGGGAGGGGAGAGGTGGGGAGGGAGGAGGAGGGAGGGGAGGGAGAGGAAAGGGATTGAGGGGTGTATTGAGAGAGGGGGGGAGGGAAAAGGGTAGAGGGGATAAAAACGCTCCATAGGAATAAGAAAGAGGAAGGGAAAGGAGGAAGAAGGAGATGGTAGGAATCCAATATATAACCTACAATGTAAAAGGGTTAAGCTGTCCAGGAAAGAGATTCAGGTTATTTAAAGAACTCCAATATTGAAAATCCTCAGTGGTATTTTTGCAGGAAACACACCTAGAGATAGAGTCGAAGGTTAGACTGAGGACTAGATATTTTCCGACATGGTTCTATGCGGATTCACCAACTAAAAGAGCAAAAGGAGTTGCTATAGGATTCACAAAGAATATAAGATTCGAACTGGAGGAGAGATTAACGGATCTGGAGGGGAGGTTTTTATTTTTGAGAGGTAAATTACAGGGAATTGAGTGCACAATAGCAAACATATACAGCCCAACTAAGAGCCCGGAGAGGTTTATGAGAGAAGTGTTGAAGAGATTGATGGACTTTAAAAGCGGGTGTATGATAGTAGCGGGAGACCTAAACATCTGTATGGACCCGGGGATGGACACCACTTCCTCTGTGAGGAGGGAGGAAAGCAAATCCTTGAGAATGTTAAAGAAATTGATGCATGAGAGTGTCAGCTGGTAGACATCTGGAGAATCAGGAATATGAAGGAGAGAGATTATACTTTCTTTTCGCACGTTCATGAGACTTATTCTAGACTAGATTATATATTAGTAGTAGAACATCGAATGATTGAGTTGGTGGTAGAAGTAACGATTGAAGGAAGTACCGTGTCAGATCATGCCCCAGTTGCATTGAAGTTAAGATGGGGTAGAGAAGGGAGAGAAGGTTATGTATGGCGGTTGAATGAGGCACTTCTAATGGAGGAAGAGATTGGTCAAAGAATTGAGAGGGAAATTGAATGGTTTTTTGATGAGAATGAAAAACAGAGGATGTCTCGGTTGCAACAGTGTGGGAAGCACATAAAGTTTATATCAGAGGCCTACTCATTGCAATGGGAGCAAAAAAAAAAAAAAAGAAAGGAGAGAAAAGATAAATAGATTAATAAATGAAATATATGATCTTGAACAGGTGCATAAAAGGGAAAGATCCAAGGAGATAATGCAGATGTTAATAAAGAAGAAAGAAGAATTAGAGAATGTAATGGAGGAGGAAAAAAGAAGAATCTTTAATAAAATAACAAGTGAAAGATATAGATGGGGAGACAGGCCGGGAAAGTATTTAATGAGAACTTTAAGAAAGAAGAAAAATAGAAATTATATTGAGAAAATAAGATGAGTGGAAATACCATCAATTAAAATGTTTCATTGGAAATCTCCCAAAACCCCTGAGATTAAAAAAGGAGTGGAATATGTTTGAAAGGTTGTTAGAAACACGTAGGGATGGGAAGCACGGTATTGCGAAAATCTATAGAATACTCACAGAATTAGACACAAACACAAAGTTAACTTTTATAATGAAATGGGAAAGAGATATGGAAGTGGTGTTAGATGAGGATAAACAGAAAAAGATATTTAGATTGATACACGAGAATGTTAGTATAGAGAGGTGGAGATTAATTATAAGTGTTTGACACGATGGCACATTACACCGAGTATTGAGCACAAGATGAGTGGGGAAAATTCAAAAATGTGTTGGAGAGGATGTGGGGGGATGGGCACGGTGTTTCACATATGGTGGAAATGTCCGAAAATTCAAACTTTTTGGAAGACAATAGTTAAATTGATTGAAATAATAACTGGAAATGACATAGGGTTAGACCCAACAATGTGCCTCCTACATAGTGTTGAGAAATCAGTAAACAAATACAAAGAATCAGGCGTATGGTACTATTTAAATGCTGCAAAAGGTTTAATACCCAAGTTTTGGCAGAAAACAGAGGTGCCGAAGGAGGAAGACTGGATCAATAGAGTAAACCAGATTAGTAGAATGGAAAGATTTTACCATATGCAAGAAGATAGGATGGGAGTATATACTATATGAGATGGGAAAAATGGGAAAAATCAGGATTGAAAGAGAAATATAGAAAACTATAAACTAGGACGTTACCTAAAGTTATTAGGCCTTGAGAGATTAGAGTGGGGGAGAGCTTGCAGAGGGGAGGGAGGGGGAAGGGGGGTGGGAATGGGGTGGGGAGGGGCGGGAAAGAAAAGAGTTTTTAGAAGGGGAAAAGTAGAAATGTAATGAACATGTATATGTGATGTGTTTCCTTTTATGGATTTTTTGTAATAACATGAAAAATTAATAAATATTTAAATAAAAAAAAAATAATAAAAACAATTAATGTACACGTATTTGGATTTTTTTAGCAAAGACATGAAGCAAAATACATTTTGGCCTAAATTTATGACAAAATTTGATTTTGTTAATTTTTTTACTGGACATGTGTAATAGCAAAAAGTCACAAATATTGTTCTTTTCTCAAGATTGATGGTCTTTTTTTTATAGCGCAAAAAATAAAAACTTTAAATTTAACTTGTGTGCAGCATTGCATAACCGCTCAATTGTCAGTTAAAATAACGTAGCGTCATAACGCAAAAAATGGCCTGGTTAGGAAGGGGGGGGGGGAATCCTCTGGAGGGCAAGTCCATTTCAGATAGTATTGATATACAGGGAAAAATGCTAAAATACAGAAAAAAATTAAAATATAGACATGTGTGATTTGTCTCGTTTGAATCAAAATTCATACAAAATTTTCATTATTTGAATGTATCCCAAATTTCCAATGGAAGGCTCTATGTGAGAGGGAACCTGAAGCACCGCCCTGTGGAGTCTACGGACCACTTTCTGCTCCTGTGTCCCTTTAACATAGAGGTATATAAAAGAGTGGGGAGGGTTCTGGACATCTCCTTTGTCTATCACATGTGTTATGCGGAGTAGGTGTATGGGGCATTCCCAGCTCTCTGGGACTTTGATTTGGATACACTTTTTCTAGTTAGTATAGTTGTTTGTTACTTTACGTGGAATGCACGGTGTCAGGTTATCCTGCAGAAGAATGTCCTCCCTATTGAGGTGGTGGTGAACGATATTCTGGGTGAGGGTGGGAAGATTCAGAGTCTTGAGAATGGCAGGAGTCTCGGGCAGTCTGGATAAGGGTGTGGAGGAATATCAGACCTGCCTTTGGTGAACTGTCCATCTCTGGCTGAGGGGCTCTTTTCTTATGCTGTTTTTTTCACTCCATTAGTTTTTGTTGGTTAAGATCTTTTTGAAAAAGGTCTGCATGCATAATGGGGGCGGGGCTGTTTTTTTACCTCGCTGGTTTGATGTTCGGTGTAGCAATGTAAGTCTTAGTAAGATTTAATTCCCCCAGTAATGACATGTTCATTTCTGAGAGGTTTGCTCTTGTTTGATAGCAGATTTTGCTTTATTCATTTCTGTGTAAATATGTATATAATTATTTATTTTTGTATATTCTGTATAATATTTTATGTTTATTGATTGCAAGACTTTTCATAAAGAAAAATTGGGAAAAATGCTCCTTACATTGGTGATCAGTGGGAAGAATATCCCTTACATTGGTGATCAGTGGGAAGAAGGTCCTTTACATTGGTGGTCAGTGGGAAGAATATCCCTTACATTGGTGGTCAGTGAGAAGAATGTCCCTTACATTGGGGGTCAGTGGGAAGAATGTCCCTTACATTGGTGATCAGTGGGAAGAATGTCCCTAACATTGGTGATCAGTGGGAAGAATGTTCCTTACATTGGTGATCAGTGGGAAGAATGTCCCTTACATTGGGGGTCAGTGGGAAGAATGTCCCTTACATTGGTGATCAGTGGGAAGAATGTCCCTTACATTGGGGGTCAGTGGGAAGAATGTCCCTTACATTGGGGGTCAGTGGGAAGAATGTTCCTTACATTGGTGATCAGTGGGAAGAATGTCCCTTACATTGGGGGTCAGTGGGAAGAATGTCCCTTACATTGGTGGTCAGTGGGAAGAATGTCCCTTACATTGGGGGTCAGTGGGAAGAATGTCCCTTACATTGGTGATCAGTGGGAAGAATGTCCCTTACATTGGTGATCAGTGGGAAGAATGTCCCTTACATGTTGGTGGTCAGTGGGAAGAATGTCTTACATTGGTGGTCAGTGGGAAGAATGCCTCTTACATTGGAGGTCAGTGGGAAGAATGTCCCTTACATTGGGGGTCAGTGGGAAGAATGTCCCATACATTGGTGGTCAGTGGGAAGAATGTCCCTTATATTGGTGGTCAGTGGGAAGATGTCCCTTACATTGGTGGTCAGTGGGAAGAATGTCCCTTACATCGGTGGTCAGTGGGAAGAATGTCCCTTACATCGGTGGTCAGTGGGAAGAATGTCCCTTACATTGGTGATCAGTGGGGAGAATGTCCCTTACATTGGTGGTCCGTGGGAAGAATGTCCCTTACATTGGTGGTCCGTGGGAAGAATGTCACTTACATTGGAGGTCAGTGGGAGGAATGTACCTTATATTGGTGGTCAGTGGGAAGAATGTCCCTTACTTTGGGGGTCAGTGGGAAGAATGTCCCTTATATTGGTAGTCAGTGGGAAGAATGTCCCTTATATCGGTAGTCAGTGGGAAGAATGTCCCTTACATTGGTGGTCCGTGGGAAGAATGTCCCTTACATTGGTGGTCTGTGGGAAGAATGTCCCTTACATTGGGGGTCAGTGGGAAGAATGTCCCTTATATTGGTAGTCAGTGGGAAAAATGTCCCTTACATTGGTGGTCAGTGGGAGAAGGAGGAGGACACACTGAAAGAGCTTTCCCTGAGAACCAGCATTTTCAAGCTCTGGGCCTTGCTTGCTAGCTTGGCCCAGGAACCATGCCTGATCCAGGGGGAGGCCCTGGGAGGGATTCATCTGATGACAGCGGGCCTAGTGAGGAGGAGGTGGAGGACCTTACTGTGGGTCCCGGCCCTGGTGAGGAGGTGGATGTCTTCAGACAGAAGACTATAGATCAGTTCTTGACTATCAGACAAGCTGAGGAAAAACTTAAAGTTTTGAAGGCTAATCATAAATCCTTCAGAGCCAAATACTGCCAGGCCTGGAGCAAGAACAGATTGGGCATGAAGCCAGCGCTCCAGAACATGGAGGAAAAGGTACAGAGACAATCTTTATTATTAGAAAATTTGAAAGCAAGAAGTGGAGCATTTCAAGAAAAGTTTGATAATGAGAGGAGATTTACCAGCCAGACATCAGCGAGCTCTGTGGATCAGCAGCCTCAGGTAATGGATGACCCAGTTCCATCTACATCAGCGTCTCACCCCCCATGTCAGGCTGTGGAATCACCAGTGGCAACCAGCCAGGGGGTTGAGGGTGAGTATGGAACCCTGAAGTTCATCCAGCAGATGGAGTCACTCCTGAGAGCAGACAAGTTCGCCTTCTCTGATGACCCTGCCGAAGTCCCTGAGGATGGACAGAGGAGGTACAGACTGGCAAAGCCAAGACTGGTGGAGAGATCCCAGTACACCAAGATGGCTGCTTCCAGCATGTCTGCCCCACCTGCTGTGGTGAGTACTGTGGATGAGGAGCTCTGCAAGCAGCCTGCTGTGGAGGAATCCTCATCCAACCTGGAGGGAAAATCCCTGGCAGAGCGGTCTCCAGACCATCAGGGGAATGTGGATGAACCTGCACCAAGCACCCCACAGATGGAAGTTGCTGTTCCTGCTGAGACCAGTAGTCCCTCTACAGGCAAGATGGCTGCCACCTGCAGAGAGCTTGTTTCACCTGAGCTCCCAGGTGCTCCAGAGCTGATTGATGCTGGTGGGGGAGGGGAGCAGCACACTGCACCCTGTGGAGAGCAAATGGCAAACATGGATGTTTCACTTGTTGCTGTGTCTGAACATCCAATCCGGTCCTGGGCTGAGTGTCCTTTCCTGGAGGAAGAGATGACTGCTGGAGCTGAAGTTTCTATGGTTGCAGCAGTGAGTGCGGACATTGCTGTGAACTCTATGACTATTGAGACTGTTAAAGCAATGGATGTGTTGGTGGTGGGTGGAGGTGAAGGGGTTAAAGTTGCTGACAGAGGTAAAAATGACATTTCTCCCCCTGCTAAGCAGAGAGAGGGACACCATCAATCCCGAATCTGTGCAATCGGTATCTGCTAGAGTTGCACCAGATGCTCCCAGACACACAAATGTTTCTGCTGCTGGGAGGATTGGGGGGAGCTATGCCTCTGTTTTGGGGAGTCGCACCAATGGGGGTGGGGGGTGTGTTGGAAATCCTAATGGTTACAATTTGGGGAGGTTTGGTGGTGGGATGGTTGATGGGGTCAGGAGGAGGAATTTGGTGCAGTTGAAGTGGGAGGGGGAAGGAAACCCACCAGTAAGGGGAATGTGGCTGAGTTAAATTTGGAGATGGGGTTTAAAGCCTGTGATGTGTTTGCGTTGATCTGCCCAGTCAGCAGTTATGAATACGATTATCACTAGAGATGAGCGAAGAAATGAAAATTCGATTCGACTGATTCGGCGAATTCGTGGACAATATTCGATTCGAGTCGAATAAATTCGCTGTGAATTTAACTTAAAAAAGGGTGTTTCTAGGCTTCAGAGAGACTTAATTTAGTGCAGAACACTGTACCTTTAATTTAAATGCCCTTGGAGTCTGCTGGGGAAGAGAAATAATACTGTCTGTCAGTATGACATGCAGATGAGTGCCGTCGATCTTAGAATCACTGCACACTTCACTCCTTTGGCCAGTCACGGGGCCAAAACCAGTGTTTGGAGCCACAGTGTGGCGGTGGAGGCAGCAGCAATGGGAGGCCATACAGCAACCTATGACAAAATGGAAACCAGCAGGAGCGTGAGGAGACCTGAAAGTGGCACATGGCAGAGTGGGAGCAATGGGAGGCGGTACAGGGACCCAGGTCACACTGTGGGCCCAGCAGCAGCAGTGACCAGGCGGTACGGGGGCCCATGGCCGATATGGGGCTTGGTGGCACCTATGGAAGGCCTGTAATCTGCCAGCAACCTATGACAAAATGGACAACCGCAGGAGTGTGAGGAGATTTCAAAGTGGCACATGGCAGAGTGGAAGCAATGGGAGGCCGTACAGGGACCCAGGTCACACTGTGGGCTCAGCAGCAGCGTGACCAGGAGGTACGGGGGCCCATGGTCGATATGGGGCCTGGCGGCACCTATGGAAGGCCGCTAATCTGCCAGCAACCTATGACAAAATGGAAAACCGCAGGAGTGTAAGGAGACCTCAAAGTGGCACATGGCAGAGTGGAAGCAATGGGAGGCCGTACAGGGACCCAGGTCACACTGTGGGACCAGCAGCAGCGTGACCAGGAGGTACGGGGGCCCATGGCCGATATGGGGCCTGGCGGCACCTATGGAAGGCCGCTAATCTGCCAGCAACCTATGACAAAATGGAAAACCGCAGGAGTGTAAGGAGACCTCAAAGTGGCACATGGCAGAGTGGAAGCAATGGGAGGCCGTACAGGGACCCAGGTCACACTGTGGGACCAGCAGCAGCGTGACCAGGAGGTACGGGGGGCCCATGGCCGATATGGGGCCTGGCGTAACCTATGGAAGGCCGCTAATCTGCCAGCACCCTATGACAAAATGGAACCCTGGGCTGGGGCAGGCAGAACCGCCGTATCTTTATCACGTTTTTCACAGGCCACCGAATGGCGACGCTGCATATGCTGACGCAACGCTGTAGTCCCAACATGGGCCCCCTGGCCACGCTTGACTTTCTGGCCACATAGTCGACATACGGCTACGTTTACTTCCTCGGGCGGCTTGACGAAAACTTGCCACACCGCCGAGTAGGAAACTTTGCACCCGCTACTCCTCACTGGCTGACTGCTACTTCCTCCGTGCACACCGGCACCACTACTGGCTGTGGTGGTAGGCTGCAGTGGAGCTGCTGCTCTACTCCGTGCCGTGGCCGTTTGCCTCCACTGACACAGCTGCGACCCTGCTGCCTCCTGGCAGCAGCAATGGAGAGGAGGGAGGCCGTACAGGGACCCAGGTCACACTGTGGGCCCAGCAGCAGCGTGACCAGGCGGTACGGGGGCCCATGGCCGATATGGGGCCTGGCGGCACCTATGGGAGGCCGCTAATCTGCCAGCAACCTATGACAAAAAATGGACAACCGCAGGAGTGTGAGGAGATTTCAAAGAGGTAGATGGCAGAGTGGAGAGCAATGGGAGGCCGTACAGGGACCCAGGTCACACTGTGGGACCAGCATCAGCGTGAACAGGCGGTACGGGGGGGCCATGGCAGATTATGGGGCCTGGCCGATTTGACCCGTAATCTGCCTGCACCCTAGTCCTGCCGACTCACGAATAGCGTGGCCTCCTCAAAGGGCCTGAGCAAGCGCAGGTGTCACACATGAGCTGACAATGGCTGACATCTAAGTTACACAGGGAGTACCTTTATCCGCTTTAACATCAGGAAATCTGTGATGGCCTTTAGCTGTTCGTAAAGGCGGTCTAACATATGTAGGGTTGAATTACACACTTGTTGCAACGTCACAGCATGAGGAGTCGGTACGGGGGCCCATGGCAGATTACATGTCTGGCAGCAGCAATGGGAGGCCCGTAATCTGCCAGCACCCTATGTCAAAAAAATTCAACACACCAGCAGTGTGAGGAGACCTGAAAGTGGCACATGGCAGAGTGTGGCGATGGAGACAGCAGCAATGGGAGGCCGTACAGGGACCCATGAGAGACTCTGGACCTAGCAGCAGCATGAGGAGGCGGTATATATAGGGGCCTATGGCAGATTAGGGGCCTGGCAGCAGCTATGGGAGGCCCGTAATCTGCCAGCACCCTATGTCAAAAAATTAAACACACCAGCAGTGTGAGGAGACCTGAAAGTGGCACATGGCAGAGTGTGGCGATGGAGACAGCAGCAATGGGAGGCCGTACAGGGACCCATGAGAGACTCTGGACCTGCAGCAGCATGAGGAGGCGGTATATAGGGGCCCATGGCAGATTAGGGGCCTGGCAGCAGCTATGTATGAGCCCGTAATCTGCCTGCACCCTATGTCAAAAAATTTAACACACCAGCAGTGTGAAGAGACCTGAAAGTGGCACATGGCAGCAGAGTGTGGCGATGGAGACAGCAGCAATGGGAGGCCGTACAGGGACCCATGAGAGACTCTGGACTTGGCAGCAGCATGAGGAGGCGGTATATAGGGGCCCATGGCAGATTAGGGGCCTGGCAGCAGCTATGTGAGGCCCGTAATCTGCCTGCACCCTATGTCAAAAAATTTAACACACCAGCAGTGTGAAGAGACCTGAAAGTGGCACATGGCAGCAGAGTGTGGCGATGGAGACAGCAGCAATGGGAGGCCGTACAGGGACCCATGAGAGACTCTGGACTTGGCAGCAGCATGAGGAGGCGGTATATAGGGGCCCATGGCAGA